ACTCAATTCTTTTGCACCTGTTTCTAAGTGCCAATTACCAGAGGAGCTTCTGGATCAGTGTGACAATAATAACTCTGTTGTGCCTCCCTCCTTTCATATAGCCAACCTAGTCATGTTGACTATGGGGGATAAAGACTCCCTGAGGCTGAAGAACATATAATATTGTGTAAAACACATTAGAAAAAATGGCTGCCATAAATGTAGTGAAGAAGTGTAGGCCTATGAGAAGTGAGATGATCTGAGCTATAGAGAGGTCAGAGTTTTAAAAAGTGATGTATGTGGGAGACTCAAGTAAAAGAAGGCCCAGTTGGGTAGTTTATTGGCTCTGGGGAACAGGAGATGACTGGAGATGTTTCAGGGTGGGCTTTACAGAGAATGAAGAAGGATGCAGAAGGGGCTTTGAACTGGTGAATGGCTCGGTGTAAATTCACAACCAGGCGAAAGTGGGCATTTCTCTCAGTGTCTTCCAGAGAGAGGGATGGCCTTCATGGCATTTAGGGAGTTTTCTGAGGCATATAGTACCCATGCAGTTAAGTCCAAATGAGTGAGTTTGTTTAGGAAGAGGAAGAGGTGGGTGTGGTATCAGAGGGAGAAGAAGGACAAGCGAGGGAGAGAGCAAGACAGGGTCGTTGATGTGAGATGACTCAGGGTCACAGATGTCCAGAAAGTAACACGATTTCAAAACGAACGGAAGGCCAGCCATGCCCTCTACCTAGAGGTCATTGTGAATACGGAACAAGCTCACAGTTGAGTAGTGAGGGGCTCACTGCATTCACGGGCATAGCGATCTCCAGAGATTAGCTCGACAAAGCCAGCCAGACTGTTCATACCACACCTCAATGAGTTTCCACCTGGATTACACTTGGATGTAAGAGTTAAACTTGAGAAAGTTGGCAGTGAGAGGAATGAAGGCTGTGTCTCTAATGCTTGTACTCTCTATCCATGTGGATGTGTTGGGCATGCATGTCTGCATGCATGTGTGTGCATATGCAAAGCCAAGAGAAATCAGTATTCATAGTTATTCCCAAAGATGGAAATGATGAAAGAGAGAGAACTTAGTGACTGAGAAAGGAGGAAGATGATGTTTCCTGGTTTGTCTCTTGACCTGTTTGTAAGCAGCCGGAGGTGAAGTTGTTTATCTTGAAGTAGGTGTATTTGTACTATGTCTACACGGTGTGATGGGGGAGGCCACAGCACCCAACAGAGAGGATGGGTTGTTTCCTATGTCGTCCTTGAGGCTACCATAGCAACACACCACAGGCTGCTAGCTTAGACAACAGAACACTGTCTCCTCATAGGTCTGAGATCACGTGCCAGCTCAGTTCCTTTCTGGGAGGCCTAGCCTCTTGGCGGGCGGCCTTCTTCTGTGACCTCAAGTGTCTCTGTCCTGCGCATGTACCCTCCTGCCATCTTCCTACGAGGACAGCAGTCCTGCTGGGCTGGGGCCCGATTCTCATGTCCTCATTTACCCTGAATTGCTCCTTAGAGAAGCTCTTTCCAAGATCAGTCACACAGAGATCCTGGGCTTCACCATGCAAGCCTGGGGCAGAGCTCTTACTGTGACCTCATCCTTTGTCTCCAGGGCTTCGAGTGGGCATGGGAAGAGTCTGGCTGGAGAGGAAGCTGAATGGCCTGCCCAGTATGCTCATGAGGACAGTTGTACCTTCTCTTAGGTTTGAAGATGGTACTAGCAGTGATGTAGAGGGAACAGAGGGGTGAGTGGCCACAGGAAGGACCATGGAAATATCAGGCGCTCTAATCAGGCACGCACAGGTTTCCCACATGGGTAAAGTGCTTTCTTGGCACAGAAGGGTGTCTGTGGCACCGGAAACACGCAATGTCTCTAAGGGGAGCTGGGCAGTCCACTGTTCCCATAGCTGTTAGAAAGCAAGAATCGGGAGACGGCTAGACAGCTCTCTATTTGTAAATATTTGTTTTCACTCGTTGACAGTGTTGTGTACGAACATACTGTTCTTCGCCCCCTCCATCACCCTCTCTCTCTTCCACTGAGGCAACTTCAGCAAGCGTCCTCCTACTGCGTCATCTTTGTGACCCACTGAGTTTAGTAAAGGTTGCTTACAGGAGCGTGAGTGGGGGGCTTATTAACTAGGCCGTACTCAACTTATCAGCAGCTATGGCAGCACTGAATAAAGCGACACCCCCTCAGCTAGCACCCACTTCCTGTCTAGAGGGTGTCCCTCAGTAAGAGGTATGGTCTCCTGAGTCCCTTCTCCATGCATGATATCATGGTGACAGGCCAGTCTCGTGCAGGCTCTCACCTCTGTAGTAAGTTCCTGAGTGCAGCAGCCATGTCATGTCCAGAAGACACTGTTTCCCAGCATTCCTTGCTAACATTTTTGTCACCCCCTGTCTTTGAATAGATGACATGTTGCAGTCCTCTTGTGACCCTAGGTTGGAAGCATTCCCAGCAGACACCTGCACTGGCCCAGGCTTTCCCTGATCATCACACAGTGTTGATAAAGTCAGTAGCCATTGGGCACGATGGAATGCTGAGTCCTGTCCCCACCATCTGCGATTACCACTGCACTCAATGTCATTCTCTGTCCCTCATTGTAAGACCGAGCTGCAGCATATTGGGTATCATCTCGGGCATTTCTGCTGTGGATACCAATGGCAGTGGGTGATCCACTGGGATCGTCATGGCTACTGGACCATAGTCTAATTCTGATGCTCTGTGTAGATTCATGTGTAACCTAGATTTTTTTTTAACTTCATAATTTTAAAAAAAATATAAGACAGATTGTATAAAGAACTCCCCTTCCCTCCCCTCTCTTCCCATTCTCTCCTTCCCCTCCCTTCCTCTCTCCTCCTATTTCCCTTCCCATCCCCTCCCCCTCCCCTTTCCTTCCCTTTCTCCCACCCCGAGAGAGTAAATGGCCAGTAGTAGCAGCAATTGGTGTTGGGAAGGGCCTCCTGGAAGTTCGGTCATTCACAGAAGCAACCATGTCCCCTGATGCACAGTCCCTCTCCTTTCTTGCAGCTTATTAGTAAATCTTTCATCCCAGCTTCTTCCGTGGCACTATATGGCTTGCCTCTTCCTGTCTTTGATGCAGGGACCTTCACCTCCCTGGCCATCTGTGAGGTTCAATCCCCTGGCTTTCTCAGCCTCTGCTTTTAAGGCAGGAGTGCCCCACTTCCTTCCTCCACACGCATCTCACCTACCTCAACGCTGGGCGAGCACCCCGGATGAGGCGAGGCGGAGAATTTCTAATGGAAAGCTGCTGGTGTCCTACTGTCATGCAAAGCATCAGCCTTGCTTCCTGCCCGTCTTTCTCTAACAAATCCATCCCCAGTGAACGGAACACTTGGATGTCAGCATTAGTTCTCTAGGCCCTGGTGTAATGGGTTTAAAATGACAATGTTAGGAGAAACCTAGAGGCATGCATTACAGTTGCCAACAACACATCCTCCTGGATACATTTCCTGTGGTCTTGGATATTAAAAATGTATGAGGTCTGTGCATCACTTAAGTTCTCTGTTGGCACGAGCCCTCCGGTATAGATCCACACGGACATGAGCGCTATGCTTTACGGCACACTCCGTTCGCTGTGAGCGTGCTCTTGAGTTTGAACTTGCTCCAGTTGAACTTTTCACGAGCAAGAGTCACAGGTAACGTGGCTCACAGAATGGGTAGTGGTTCAGTTGTCATTAGTCGCTAAGATGTATGCTGAGAGGCCACCCAGAGCATCCTTCTACGGAAGAACCCCTGCATCTCGTTTCCTAGGTGAAGGCAGTGCGTCCCTGGGATACCTGACAGGCATCCTGCGGCTTTGGAAGCTCGACCTTGAGGTTGAGCAGCTTCTGCTCTTGCTGTTCCCTCTGCCTGTGAGCTGATGCCACCAAGTTCCTGGGGACAGCGGAAGAGACAGGACAGGAACTTCGAAAGCTTATTGTACAGTTGGAGGTCAGGCATTAAACCAGGTGGGAATGCATAACCAAGGGGCACCAGCAGTGGGGGTACTCGGCAGAGAGCCATTCCTAAAGAAGGGAATTGAAGGGGACATTGAAAAGTTGAGAAGTCAGGAAGTAGTGAGGCTGGCTCAGAAGGACCGTCTATGGGGGAAGGATAGCTACACACCCATCTAGGTCTCGGCCTGTGCAAGGCTCATCTTCAAGACAGTGAGACCTGAGGCATGGAGGAAACAAAGAGGGAGGTCTGAGGCCTCAGGGCTGAGGAGTTGGGAGCAGGATCAGGTTTGAAATTTGTCAGCTTGATGAAGGTTCACACGGTATGGCCGTACATAGCCCGTCTACGTTTCATACAGGGCCCTACATCTTGGGAATGAACAGGAAGATGCAGGGGTGGATTCCAACTGAGTGATGTGTCAGTGATGAACACTTGGCATAGCACAGAGAGTGGGGCTGACTAAAGGCACGGGGTGGGCATGCGCGAGCCGGGTTTGTGCAGTTTTGATCTGACTGTGCTTTTCAGGAGCCCAGTGTGCCTGGCTCTGACACACCTTTCCATAGACTTTCCAGCACAGGTGGAAATGAGATGGGTGTTTCAATTCATCACGCACCTGATTGTTTTCTAGATAGGCCACGTGGGTGGGATGGGGACCGGATGGGGAGAATAAGCTCTTGGGAGGAGAGAAACTGAAGTTATGGACAAGAGAATATAGACTGGAAAGATGGGATGTGAGGATGGAAAAGGACTATGGGAGAGTGATGGGGAGAAGCAGAGGAGAGGGTCTGCCAGGCTGGAGGGAGTTTTTAGCAGATGGGAAATTTCTGGTCACTTTGAGCAGAAATGAAAATCATTATACCCAAGGAGGGTGAAGAAAGGCATGATGAAGATCCTGGTCTGTGTGCCATTGAAATTCCTCCCATCTGGCAAGGTCAGACTCTAAAAAACAAAAATGTTTAGTCAATGAGAAAGATTGGTCAGGAAATGACAGGATGCAAGCTTTGTAGTTTGGGGACGTTGCCATGGTTACCTTGATCCAAGCGCTATTCCGGGAGCTGCAGACATAGCTGGAGTCAAGGCTGAGGACGTCTCCCTTGAATGGTGCTTCCGTACTTGTGGGAGGAACATGGCCAACGTCCAGCATGGAAAGCAGGGAGAAGGTGGAGAGGCAGACATCGCACCGACATTGGATCTGGGACTGGAATGGAAGAGACTGGGAAGCTGCTACTCAGGCTGAAGGTTAAGTAATCCTAGGGTGCTGAGGGCTAGTGATCCTGGGGGTGGCCATGTTGTTTCTCTGCGCTGGTACCTGGTACTCACCCAGGGATAGGGCCAGCCTCTGTCCTCCTGGTGAAGGCTCCTCCTGCCCTCCTTCATCATTAAGACATTGGCAATTGGAAGGCCTTGTTGCCAATGTAAGGACTTCCCTAGAAGGAACACTTCTGCAGGCCCAGGGCCCCTCATGAACAGATGACCCCTGTCATCAGGCTCAATTTCATAGGATACAGGAGGAGGGGCCAGCAGCCATCTTACTTTACCAGAAGAGACCTAGGCAGGAAATGAAATGAGCTGTCACAACCCACATTTATGAGTAGACTTTCCTTTAACCATTAAAAAAAAAAAACAAACAAAAAAAACCCCAAAACCAAAAAAACCCAAAACCTTCTAGAAGTTAAAAAAGTGTAAATGTGGATCGATCTATCATCTTTTTAGGGCCATTGCCCTAAAATGTAAGTTTAACATTTCTGCATCCCTGTTGATTATATAACTTAGTTCCAGGCAAAGAGCATGGCATTTAGAAACTTCCAGGCTAGACTGTGAGATCTCGGCTCCCCTCCTCCCCCCCCCCCCCCCCCCGCCCCGCCCCATACCTTGCCTTTCACTTCAAACTCCAGTGCAGAGCCCTGATCAGGAAGTGTGCCCTCAAGTCCCATGCTTATCTCATAATGTGAAATATAGCCCCAACTTTAAAAGCCCTCAAACCTTTAACTGCTCTCTTTAGAAGCCCAAAGTCTCCTAACTGGGAATTCCTATAAAATCGTGTTAAGCCTCTAACATAGAATGGCAGGGAACAGACTTTCTTATTCCCAAAGGGAAGACTCAGGGACACAGCAAGGAACTGTCTCATGAAAACAAACCCCAAGCTCAACAGGGAAACACAAACTCCCACAGCTCCATGTCCAGCAACTGGGGCTTAGAACAGTGTTCTGGGTCCCGAAGGGCTTGGGTAGCCTCGTGCCTCGAGCTGTGCACACACAGCCCCTGCATCTCCAGTATCCTAGGGTCTCTATTGCAGCTGTGGCTTCACCATTATAGCTTCATGAAATGGCTTCTCAGGGGCCCTCCGCAGGGGCTCCAACAATGCCTCGCCTTAGTGGCTCCCATGACTCTGTTATTCTTGCATCTTTCATGCCTTCAAACCCAGCACCATGTGGGTGGTGCTTAGGGCACTGCGAAAGTCTGCTCCTGGGTGGAGATGTAGTCTGCCTGCGAAAGTCTCTATTGTTCTTTGCTGCTGTGAAGGCTAGGCTTGTTGGCCTGTGAGCTTCCCTGGGAGTCTTCTATCTCTATATTTCATTTCCAGCTGGAGTACTGTGAATACAGATGTGTGCTACCAAATCTGGCTTCCCACATCTGTTCTGGTGACTCAGCTCAGCTTGTCGGATCTGCGTGGCAAGCTCCTTACTCAAGGTCCAGGAGTTGCATTTCATTTTATTTCATTTTTAAATCTCTGCTCCCTCCCCCTGTATCCAGTAATGAACATTGGGTAATGATGATGCCATATATGCCAAGCATTCTTAAAGTAAAACAGTTCCCTTGTTTTGAGACAGGGTTTCATGTAGCCCAGGCTGGCCTGGGACTGTCTATATAGCCAAGGATGACCTTGATCTTCTGATCTTCCTGTCTCTACCTCCTCAGCTTGGGATCACAGAAGTGAGTTATCACACCAGGCTTTCGAAGTGTTGGGGGTTAAAGCCAATGCTTCATGAGTGCAAAGTAAACACTAACAAGGAGATGCATTCCAGCCTTATTCTCTTGTTCTGAACTAATTGATTCAAGTAAGGCTTAGGAAGGTGAAACATAACACTAAAATAATGTCAGCATTGTAAACAGACAATCCCAAAGAACACAGGAAATTAAGTGGAAAAGAGAGTGAAACACAATCACCAGGAGACAGTCCTGATGCATATCTAAAAAAGACAATAATTGCCCGTTTTCACAGGAAAACTCACCCAAGACCCTTACTTTGGAACTTACAAGTTTGAGGCCAATAGAGTACAGGGAAGTGTGGGTAAACCCCCTTTGATAATGGGTGAGGGAGGCAGGCTAGTCAGATAGACAGCTCCGGGGGCACTGGCTTTACCTTACACCTGAGTAAGGACAGCAGACGTGACTCCAGTGAGGTCCAAGGTACCAGAGTTCATGGAATCTAGAAAGCATCTTCCCTGTTACTGACGAGGTTGGTGAATCCTACGTCTCCTACCTGTCAATTCTGGCTTTGTGTTCAACTACCAGGAACACGACAATTGCAGCACATAAGAGGTATCACAGTATTAAAAGGAAAGCATCCAGTGCATAGCCTCTGGACAGCCATATAGCGTTGGCAGATGCAGGCTGTGTATGGTTCCCTGCGGCCTACGGAGCATGCTTGAGTTGACTTCATAATGAAGTTATAGCAATGCCATTTTCACTCGATGGGGTAAGTTTATTAGCACAGCTAAAACTCTCAAAATAATCAATTTATAAATTGAAATGAGCCAACAGGGTGAGAGAGCCCCTGCAGATACCAGGTCAACGTTTAAATCGATAATATTGGATGTCACTGGCAACACGTTGGTCATATAGCAGAGCTGACGCTACAAATAAAATCAATGGGCAATCAGATATGATTTAGCATCAAAAAAGACATGTAGTGGCATCCATACACCTAGTTCCTCTGCCTAGGATGTAGGAAGACACAGAAGGTTTACATCAACGGAGTCTCTGGAGAGCAACTCGCGAAAGAGTTTTGGATATTTCCTATGTATGAGATCAGAATGTGTGGGCAGTGGTGCCAGCGTGGCTTTGTGGAAATGGGATTGGATGGAAGCAGGGCCCTGGGATTCATGTTTGGTTCCTCTGCTTCCTGGCTGGCTGACCTCGATGAGCCTTGTGTCTCTCTCTCTCTTGTCTCCATCATACATCCCCGTGAGGTGGGGAAGAGCAGTTCCAGGGGAGGGAAAGTCAGGGAGGTGGAGGCATGTTGGGAGGGGCATAGCCCCACCTGGCCAGAGGCCCTGGGAGAGAAGGACAAGGTGGTCCTAGGCAGAACTCCGAACTCAGGCAGCCTTGCAGGTGGGAGCAGGTATCAGGCTTAGGGACCAGGGGCAGAGAGAAGTGCATCTGAGGTCAGGCTGTGCTGTTATGCAGGGACCACTAATGCTGGCGTGGGAGGATGCTGGGCACCCAGCTCATTTCCTACTGAGGATTCTGCACCTGTCCAGATGCCAGAAGCCACCCTGCTGTATATGATCTAGCTCTAGCTCTTAAGAGCTTCTGGGACACAAGACCCCACAAGGGAGTTCCCGATAACAGAAATTTGTTTTCCTGATTCCCCAAGTTCAAGGTCCAAGTGTTGGCAGCACTGCGTCTCTGTGAAGGCTCCAGGACATGCTGAACATTGTCCTTTGTCTTCATCTTCCCAACATCTGTGCTTCCAAACATCCCCTGTTGCTCCAGACTTGCACAGGCCTCAGTGGAAGCTCTGCCTTGACTGTCTGTCTTCCTGCAGGGTGTGTCTGAGTCTTTGCCTCTTCTGAAGATCCCAGGACTTAGGTTCATCCTATATATACAATCAAAATGCCCTCACCGGAGTGTGCCCAACATTTGTTAAGATGCTGTTCACTGTGAGACCCCGTTCTGAAGTCCTTGGTGGACATGAATTTGGGTGGCTCTTTCAATGCCTGTTTGTCTCACCATCTCTGACACTGCATCCTCGGGATGCCCCTGGTTCCTGCCACTTTTTGGCTCTGAGGCAGTCATCAGGATTGACGGCTTGGGAAGAAGGGAGCTTCGTCCAGTTTTCCTCCTCTCTTCCTGGAAGCCTGGTCTTCAGTATTTCCCCTTACAGTTTTGCCTTCGCACTGGCCGCCATCACTGAGCTTTTGTGCCCTGGGAGGACTGTTCTCGTACAGACTGCTTGCTATGGCTGTCCATCTTCCTTGTTTCTGTCTCCTACCTTGCCTCGGTACATCTTACCTTTTATAAGCTGTAAAGTAATACCTCTCGGAATTTATACATAGTACACTTCCTCTAGTTACCAACACGTAAGGAGTGTTTCAAATCTATAAAATCATGTAAGTAGCCTTGGTAACTTTTTAACTATGGTAACCTACACGTTCCTTTATGTGTGCCATTCTCATGAGCAACTCTTGACTTGCTCATGGAAATGTCTTTTCCTCTTTCAAACCTGGTCAAGGATGATGCAGAAATTACTGTCCTGTAGGTAATGCATCCAGGCAGCCACACACGGTGCTGTGGAATGAACGAGCTCATGACATTCCCCGGGTGGAAAGCACAGGAGATAGCATTGCTGGCTCCATGAAACAAACGGTTGCCCCAGGTTTTCCTTGTAACATCCCGTGCCTGCTGACTGCTTCTGTTTTGTTTATGATACCTCTGACTAATTAAATATTAGTGCATTTGATTACCTTTCAGGACAGAGGGCTTCCACAGGAAATAATGATTTATTCATCTCCCTAATAAAATTGATTTCTGTGCACTTTTCTCCTTTGTAGTCAAGGTAGCCTGGGCTGCTGGCTCCAGGAGTCTACTGTATCTGGCTTTCTGAGTTAACACGCAGGAAATTGAAGTCAGCCGTTTAACCTCTGTGCCTCAGTTATTCGATCTGCAAATGGGCGATAATTAGACCTTCGTTAGAGAGAGGAAGCAGGACATCTGGAGGGATGGGGAGGCGAGGAGCCCAGCATTCGTCTTATCAGAAGCTCTGGCATGTGAAAGTGCTGTGTGTGCGTATTGCTTGACTGTGAAATGTTTACATGCACCAGCATTGTGTTAGCCATAGGCTCACCAGGAGGCTGAATTTTAACGATGGCAGAACCCTGCCCTTGGTATTTAATGATTTCCTGACATGATCAGAAACCACAGTGCTGGTCATACCATTTGGCATCTTTATGAGTGTCACATGCAAGTATGCTCCGGCTTAACCTCTCCAGTGGGAAGAAATGGGACCATGGGCA